ATGGCTTACTGTCCTCAACAAAAGATTAACTCAACAAGTTATGGGTAAGAATTTTAGGAAATATGTCTATTATTTGTACAAAAGAATTTTCCATCCTGGTTTTATTTTGCACAGCTCATTCTAGATCTATCTTTTTCACCCTACAGTCTATTATAAACAGAAAGGAGAAACCCTGGTGTCCCTTAAGGCATTGTTTAAAATATCCTAAGCCAAATAGTGAAGCTCAACACCTTCCCTCAAACATTTGAACATAGTTCAGATAATTCTACCTTCCCTGAAACATTTGAACATAATTCAGATAAGTTCTTGGAAAGTACATAAAGCATCACCTTTCCTACAATTTCCAATCACTTGCCCGTCTCACCAGAAGCACATTTAATGGCCACTTTGTGTTGTCATTCTGATCATGACAGGAGCTCTCAGCTCAGCTCTCAATTTTCTTAGCTTTCATCAGGCTTGTCTTTGATGGCCCAAATTCTTCCAACAGTCTCTTCAAGGCAACGTAGGACCTTACTAAGAAGCTGATCAACATTTCTTCAGCCTCTAGCCATTATCCAATTGCAAAACCACCTCCAGATTGCCTGTGTTTGTTAGAGCAGCACCCGACTCCTAGCTATCAAATTCTTCATTACACAGTGTTTATATAATACACATACCACAAATAGGAGTTTATTTTCTTATGTTTTAAGAGGCTAGAACTCTGAATTCTGGGCGCTGTCTCTAGGGGACCCTTTCTCTGAAAGATCTCTCTGGGGAAAGGTTATTGTCTCTTTTAGCTTCTGTTCCTCAATTCCTTGGTCATTTTCATTTGACCTGGTATATGTCTTCCTCAACTCTGCTTGTGTCTCAGTGGTGATTGGTACTATTTTAAGAGAGATTGATTTAAGACACACTGTGCCCTAATATAGGAGGTCTGGTGGTATAGTGTTTAAGATTTGGGCTGCTAATCATAAGGTCAGCAGTTCAAAACCCCAGCAGCTCCATGGGCAAAACACAGGGCTTTCTACTCCTGTAAAGAGTGACAGTCTTAGAAATTCGCAGTAGGGAGTTCTACTGTGTCCTATGATGTCAGTATGAGTCATGAGTTGGCATCCACATGACTGTGATGGGCAGGAAGTTGAGTTTGGTTTGGTACCCTAATACTACCTCATTAGCATAACAATACTCATTATCAAGAGTGATATGGAAGTAGGTATAAAACCTAAAAATAACCCAAGCCTACTGACATCAAGTCAATACTAACTTAATGGTGATTCTATCTAGGGTTTCTGAGGCTGTAAATTTGTTTTTTTTTAATTTTAAGATTATTTTATTGGCAGCTCTTAAAGCTTTTGTAACATTCCATACATCAATTGTATCAAGCATGTGTGTATATATGTTGCCATCATCATTTTCTAAACATTTACTTTCTATTTGAGCCCCTGGTATCAGCTTCTCTTTTTTCCTTCCCCAACCCCTCTCCCACCCTCATGACCCCTTGATCAATTATATATTATTATTATTTTCATATCTTACACTGACCACTATCTTCCTTCATCCACATTTCTGTTGTTTGTCCCCTGAGGTTTGGTGGTGGGCAGGTGGTTATCCGTCAATCCTTGTGATCGGTTCTCCCTTACTCCCCCTCCTGCCCCCACCTTTCCCATACCCTCCTGGTATCGCTACTCCCCTTTTTGTTATTGAGGGGTATATCTGACCTGGATTCCATGTATCCTGGAACTCTTATCTTTACCAGTGTGTATGCTTCAGTCTAGCCAGAACTGAAAGGCAGGACTAGGTTCATGAGAGTGGGGGTAAGGAAGCCTCAAAGAACCAGAGGCATATTGTGTGTTTCATCAGTGCTCTACTGCACCCTGGTTGACTCAACCCTTCTGTGAGGGAATGTTCCATTGTCCACAGATGGGTTTGAGGTCTCTGCTCCAACCTGCTTTGTTCTGTTTTGGGTCTTCTGGTACCTGTTTCTTGATCCCGTTGACATCTCATGATCACACAGGGTTCTGTGCTTCTTCCATGTGGACTTGTTGCTTCTCTGCTAGATGGCCATTTGTTTAACTTCAGGCCTTTAAGATCCAAGACGCTATGTCTTTTGATAATTGGGCACCATGGAGGCTGCAAATCTTTACGGGAGCAAACAGTCTTAGTTTTCCCTTGAGATATGGCTGGTGGATTTGAGCCCCTGACTTTGAATTTAGCAGTACAACAGTTACCTAACAGCATCACCTGGGCTTCTCACAGTAGGTAAGAATAGGGATTAGGGTTTATAACACATACTTTAGAGGAGCATAATTGAATCCAGGGCACTCAATTTCTACCATATTCTAGTTTAAGGGTCCCTAATTTACAGAAGAACTGCTAGATCTTGCTTTCTTTAATATACATACATACATAATTTAAAAGAATTCTGAATTCAAGAAGTAGTTAGAATCCCCCCCCCAAAAAAAACCCGCTTTCTTGGGGTATAATTGACACACAACAAACTTCATATTTAAGGTGTATAACTTGAGACATTTGGCTACATGTCTATAACTATAATAACCATCAAGATCAAGAGCATGAATGTATCTGTCTTAGTGACTCAGGGCTGCCATAACAGAAACACTTAGTGGGGCTTTTAAGAACAGAAATTTATTTTCTCACAAATTCATGAGACTAGAATCCCAAATCAGGGCCTGGCTCTTTCAGGAGTTCCTTCTCTGTCTCTCTTAACTTCCAAGATCTGCCAGCAATCCTTGTTATTCCTAGTAATCCTTGGTAAATGCACCTATTTCCAGGTCTGTTTTCATGCACTGTCTTTCCCTCTTGTTTGTCTCTATTTGGATCGGTTGAGTTCTTTTGATTGGCACCCACCTTCCCGGGGCATAACCTGATTTATGTGACAAAGAAAACTCTTGTTTCCATTCAGGATTGCATCTACACATATGGGGGAAACACAGGTCAGTTCATTACAAAGTTTCCTTGGCCATTTTGTGATTTCTCTGTCCATTTTCCCCTGTCAACTTGGTAATTTTCTTAAATTAAATATAAATAAGACTGTGCATCATGAGGATAAGTTAAAAAAGTATCGCTTCGAATCCATAGAAGCCTCTATTAAATACAAATATCAAAATGTGAGGCCATTGTTTCTCAGCATAGCCTCCATCTGGTTCTATGTACTTCTGAAGGCTGTTTTTCTATCTCTGTAACTTGTCCCTGCTGAATTCTGCATGCTTCAATTTACACCATGTCCAAATGGCAGTTCTGACATCCTCAAGGAACTCAAAATTGTGTTCCTTAGAAATCTTCTTAGTTTTTGGAACAAAATTAAGTCAAAGGGGGTAAGGTCAAGGCTGCAGAATGGATAAGATAAGGCTTCCCAATGAAATCCTCTTAGAACAGACAGCCTCTTGTCATATCAAGCATGATCAGGTGTGTTGCCACGATGGAGAAAATGCCTTGGTGTGACTCTCCTGGACTGTTTCTCACCAACACACCGTTTCATTTTGTTAGTACTTTTTCCTAAAATGCTCCTGCGATTGTCCTGTGCCTTTTGAGAAAATCTATCCAGAATACCCGTTTAGAACATAAAACAATAATTGTCATAACCTTTTGAGCTATACCTTTAATATAATTTAACTAGCTTGGCAGATCCCCTGAGAAGCCACTGTTTTAAACTAGACCTTTTCGGGGAAGACACTTCCTGAGACTAAAACAAATGATCTTACCGAGAGAACTGTCTGCAGCCATCCACTGGTGGCCGAGGTATGCTTAGTGTATGTTCTCTGGATCAACACCTACGTATTGCAACTGGGACTCAAGTAGCAATACTTTGGACTCGCTCTTTTATATTCTGTTTTTTATTTCTTCCATTTGGCATCATGATGAAATTTACCCAGGTTATTTCCCCTGCGAATAATATTTCATTATGTGAGTGTAAAACAATTTGTTTATCCTTTCATTTGCTGATAGACATCGGCGTAGTTCCTAGTTTGGAACTGTTACTAATAAACCTTCCATAAACATTTCTTAAACAAGTCTTTGTGTGGACACATGCACTCGTCCCTTGGTAAATACGTACTTAGGAATAGAATGGTTATATCATATGGTAGGTGTATATCTAACTTTTCAAGATACTGCCAAGCTGTTTTCCAAAGAAGTTGCAAGAGTTGTATAATTTTACATCTCTACCAGCAATGTATGAAAATTCCAGTGGCTCTACAACCTCACAAACATTTTGTATATTATTGGTCTCTTTAATTCTAGGTATTCTAATAGGTGTATTGTGTGGTACTGTTGGGTAAGCATTGGACAGCTTACCACAGGGTGTGCAGTTCAAACCTACTAGCCTGTCCTCGAGAAAAAGATGAGTTTACCTCCTCCTGTAAAGATGACCAGACTTAGGCATTCTATTTAGGGTGACTGAGAGTCAGTATCAACTCATTGACAGGGTCTTTTTTTGTTTTTTAATAGTGTATAGTTTTAATTTGCATTTTAGATGGCATCCTTTTAATTTAGGATTTCATCAAAATAACAAGAAAGATAGGTGAGAATGATTTGGGCTAATCAATGGCTGTAAGACTAAATGGTTAAAAATAGTTCTGTACATTAAATATGACACATAGATGAGTCTGATATTTACTCAGTCTTTTCTCTTTAAACATATGGCTATATTTGAAGATGAATGAGACCAAAGAGAAATAAATCTTCCTAATCCTATATACAGAGAATTTTTCTTTATCTCACCACAGCAGCATTTATATCACACATTTCTGGGTTGTTTGACTATAGATTATTCCAGAACAGTAAAATATTCTCACTTAATATATTCTGTCTTAAGTGACTCAGGATGTGGAATTAAAGCTACCAGGATGAATTAGAACCACTATTAACTCTGAAGTTTTAAATCAGAGTACGGCCAATTTGAAAAACTTGGTGTCAAAGTATAAAGCAGATTACTCTTTTTCTTGGAGCCTCTCAGCTATAATATTTGCAATTTTGTAATTTTAAAATTTTATTTTCCTAAGGAATTGGAGGAACAATATAAAAAGGAGAAACTGAACATGGAAGAAGATAAAAATCAACTTCAGCAAAAGCTAGAAAACCTGAAGGAAGAACTGGAAGATAAGCTGAATACAGCCAATCAAGAGGCAAGAATTATTTTAGGCCTATCACCTGTGTTGTTCATTAATGATAATAGTTTATTTTAGTAACATTTGTCTGGGTAGGTGCGCCTCAGTGAAGGTAACATTTAAAGCAAAAATCTAAGATGCTTTAATTGCTGCTCTATTTTGCACTGCCCACTGGTTATGGCCCCCTAAGTAAATGTGTACTACCAACCCCACCAAAAAAACAAAAAACTTGGGGAAAAGCAGGACAACTGAGGACATTACCCTTTTGTGAAACATTGACACAGTATTCTATACAGGCATAGCCTCTCACTCCATTGAGTTCTACCTTATTCCTCTTTATAGATATCGGGGGTGTTTGTTTTTTCACCAATTAAAGGTTTCTGGCAATGCTATCTTGAGCAAATGTATTGCCAGCATTTATCAACAGCATGTGCTCAGTTTGCGTCTGTGCATCACATTTTAGTGATTCTCACAATATTTCAACCTTTTTCCTGCTATCACACATTTAGGAGCCTTGGTGGTATAGTGGGTTACAAATTAGGCTGCTAGCTGCAAGGTCAGAAGTTCAAGCCTACCAACTACTCCATGAGAGAAAAGTAAGGCTTTCTGTTCCCATAAAGATTATAGCCTTCAAAACCCAAAGGGACAGTTTTACTCTGACCTATTCTGTGACTCAGAATTAACTTAATTAAAATGAAGTTTTGTTGTTGTTTTATTGTACATTTATTAGACGATTCTATAGGGAAAACATAACTGGAAAAGCAAAAAAAGAGGTGTGAATCATTTTATTGTGGAAATCTGGAACCAAGCATGCAATTTCTCCGAGGTATGCATGTACCATTCCTCAATTAAAGAAACAAAAAGATAAAAAACCCAAAAGAATGAAACTTTACGAGTCTTAAATAGTGATATTAAAAATGATTTTTAAATTGTGAAAATAGTATTGTTTAACCTGGAAAAGAGAAGGCTAAGAATAGACTATAGTAAAAATGTTATCAATTAATAAAAGTTGTGATGGAATAATTGTAAAAAAATTTTTTGTAATCATATTTGTCTCTACCCCGGTTCTCTTTTGCTTTTGTTAATCTGTGCCCCAGGACAACCTCCAATCTGTCCTCTTTTCCTTCTATTCTAATTAGTTTTTCATGTAACGTGTTAACAGAGTTCTTGTCTTGACACCTCTCATCTTGTCAGCTGTTCCACTGCCACCTTTAAGCCCTGCTTTCTCAGCACTCTGCTTCTCCTCGCAGGAAACCATGCCCAAACACCTGAGCGCCCCTGGGCAGGCAGAGAGTTTGCATCGGCATTCTTTCATGATTTTCAACAAGAGACAATGCCACTTGTGGGAATGGTAGACAAAAGATTGCTACTGATGTTTGTACCACCTCTGGTCTCTAAATTTGCACACCTCTCTCAGAAAAACCTGGTCCTTCCAGTTTCCCACTCTCATGAAAAAACAGCTTAGAGACCATCTTGGCTTCTCCTGCAGGTCCTCCAGGGTTCCAGTCTCAATTACAAATGGATTATACAAGTATTCCTCCGTCACAAGACTGTACTGTCACTGACAACCGTTATAGTAAATATGTAATTTACTTTTGGGGGGGCGGGGGGGCTCTACATTTTGGATTATCTTTAGCACTCTAGTAATATCTTGATGCCTTTTTAGAATGGCTCTTTCTAAGAATCTAAATGGCTCACTTGATTGTGTGCATCTACTTTTTCTTCATTCGGGGGTACTCTTCTTCTTGTCTCCTTTTGCTGACTAGAACCTCCAGAGATAAAATCATTGTTAAGAGGAAACACTCCACCATTTGATGCTCTTGTAGTTTTTTTTTAAATGCCCTGTATTAAACTGAGGAAATTCTATTTAATTTTAATTTTATCATTTTAAAAATCATAAAAGGATTTTTCGTGCATCTATTTGAGATGATTTTCTACCTTTAATTTGTTAATACATCATGCCTTAGTCAACTTTCAAATATTAAATCAACTTTGAATTTCTAGAATAAGCACAAGTTAGTCACAATATGTTATATTTTTATATAGTACTGGGCTTTGTTTGGCAATCTTTCTGCATTTTTGAGCCTGAGTTCGCATGACATTGATTGCTCCTGTACTTTTTCCTTCTGCACAGTCTTTTCTCCTGGGTTTGAAACAAGGTGATACCAAGCCTTGTAAAATGTGGTGGGGAACCCTTTTTTACTTTCCGGAACAGTTGTATAAGATCCAAACGCCTTTTTAACTGCATTGTGGTTAGAAATTGTTTACATTTTTAATAAATGTGTGAAGCTTGTGGTACTAACTCTGTGACCAGCCTGTGAAAGAATGTATGTTCTGGTGTGGTCTTCATGCTTGGCCATTAGATGAAGTTTTGAACTATTTAAGATTTGTGTATTCTTTCTGACTGGGGTGTGTTTGATTTATTGATAACTAAAATTTAAACTGCGGTGTGGGTTCATTTACTTCTCTTGTCTCGCGAGTTTTCATTTTGTGTATTTAGAGAATCTGCTATGTGTATATGTATATATAGAATTTTTTTAACTGCATGATAAATCACACTTTCTGACTTAATTTACAGTTTAATGTTGTATGGCCACACTAACTCTTTGCAGTTTGAAATGAATCTTGTTTTCCATTAGCAAATATTCCATTTTTATGCAACTCTATGATTAGAGTGCCTATTACAAACTGCATATATCTGGATTATTAAAAAAATCAAGTCAGAAATCTTTATCTTTTAAATGGAGAGTTTAGTCCATTTAAAGTCATTGTATAGATGGTAGATAAATGTATGGAGAGGTATTTCATAAACACTAAAAGCAATTGTTTTAGAAAAGATAAAGAATATTCTGTTTTTATACGTTAAATGTATGCTGATGTAAGGGATATATGTTAAATATATAAATAAGTCAACTTCATTCTTGAATGTCAAGATCATAATAAGATCTTAAAGGAAGCACAATAGGATATTAAAGGAAGCTTCTTGTTGGCTTGGGGTGCCATCAAGTCAGTTCCAAACCCCTAGCAGCCCTATGCATAACAGAATAAAGCACTGCCCAGTCCCGTACCATCCTCACAGTTATTCCTACATCCACTGTAGCACCTGTCTCACTCCATCTCGTCGAGGACCGTCCTCTCCTTCACTGTCCTACTTTACCAAACATAATGTCCTTCTGACGACATTTCCCAAGGATGTCAGACCGACCCCTCTGACAAGGAGAACTCTGGCGAGACTTCTTCCAAGGCAGATTGGGTTGTCCTTTTTTAGCAGTACATGGTATTTTCAATAGTCTTCTTCATCACCACAATTCAGGCACATCTATTCTTCTTCAGCCTTCTTTATTCAATATCTAACTTTCACAAGCATATGAAGCAATTGAAAATACCATGGCTTGCTACAGGCTCACCTTAGTCCTCAAAGTAAAAGTGAGAAGTTTGCCTTTCAAACTCGAAAGAGGTCTTGTGCAGCAGATTTACCTAATGAAACCAGGTTTTTAATCTCTTCATTGCTGCTTCCATGAGAATTCATTGTGGATCCAAGCAAGACAAAATCCTTGATGGCTTAAACATGTCTCCATTTATCATGATGTTACCTATTGGTTCAGTTGTGATGATTTTGGTCTTCTTTACATGGAGTTGTAATCTATATTAAAGGCTGCAATCCTTCATCTTCATCAGCAAGTGCTTCAAGTCCTCCCTAATTTCAGCAAGCAAGGTTGTATCATCTGCATATCACAGGTTGTTAATAAGCCTTCCTGCAATCCTGATGCCACACTCTTTTTTATGTAATCCAATTTCTCTGATCATTTACTTGGCATACAGATTGAATAAATGTGGTGAGAGGATACAACTCGGACACACATTTTAAACCATGAAGTATTCCATTGTTCTACCTTTTGATCCATGTACAACTTGTGCATAAGCACAATGAAGTGTTGTTGAATTCCCATTTTCTCAAGGTTATTCATAGTCTGTTATTATTTGCTTAATCAGATGCCTTGGCATAGTCAATAAAACACAAGTAAACATCTTTCTGGTATTCTCTGCTTTTACCCAAGATCCATCTGACATCAGCACTGATAGTCCTTGTTCCAGCTTCTCTTCTGAAACAGTTTCCTGTCAATGTATTGCTGCAACTGTTGTTGGATGATCTTTAGCAGAATTGTACTTGCATGTGATATCGATGATACTGTTCTATAATTTGAGCATTCTGTTGGGTCACCTTTCTTTGGCGTGGGTACAAACATGGAACTCTTCCAGTCAGTTGACCAAATAGTTGTCTGCCAAATCTCCTGGCATAGACGAGTGACTGCTTCTAATGCATCACTAGCTTGTTAAAACATTTCAGTTGGTATCTTGTCCATTCCTGGAGTCTTGTTTTTTGCCTAATGTTTTCAGTGCAACTTGAACTTCTTCCTTCAGCACTATTGCTTCTTGCTGATATACTACCTGCTGAAATGGTGGAATGTTGGCTGTTCATTTTGGTACTGTGACTGTGTATTCTTTCCATCTTCTTTTGATGCTTCCAGCAGCATTCAATATTTGGCCCATAAAATTTTTCAATATTGCAACTCAGCTTGAATTTTTCAGTATCAGATATGCTGCTCATGTTCTTCCCATTTGTTTTCTAATTAATTCTAGGTCTTTGCTTATTTCATTATAATATTTTACTTTGTCTTCTTGAGCTGCCCTTTGAAATTTTCTATTCAGTTTTTTGACTTCATCCTTTTTTCCATTTGCTTTAGCTACTCTAAGAGGGAGACTTTCAGTCTCTTCTGACATCTCCTTTAATATTTTCATTCTTTCCTGTCTTGTTAATGACCTTTGCTTTCTTCCTGAATGATTATCTTGATTTCCTCTTATAGTTCACCAGATCTGCTATCATTAGTGTTCAGTGGATCAAATCTGTTCTTAGAGATTTTTTTTTTAATTCAGGTGAGATAGACTCAAGGTTGTATTTTGGCTCTTGTGGACCTATTTAAATTTTGTTCACCTTTAACCTGAACTTACATAGGAAC